CAAACAGAAAGCTCCAGAGGCCAACCTCTGCCTTCTGATAAGTGGCAAACAGGGAGCTGCTAACACACTGCACCACTTCAGAGCTAACACACTGCATCTCCAGCACCACAGGCCCCTCTGATCCCACCACAGTTTCTTCCAGCACACCACACAGGTGATGAAGAGCACTAATCCTCCTCTCACGGGTGTTTCCCCCTGCGGGACGTCCCAGTGCCCCCTTCCAGAGACGGCTCCAACCTCGGCAAACTGCTGCATTTGTTGTTCTGCCTCCCGCCGCACGCCCGTCTCTCTCCATATTTCAGCATGACAACGAGCTAATGAGCTGACTGAGAGCGGCGTGATAAATAAGTGTTTGTGTAATGAAAGAAAGAGTAAAGCTTCGTTTCATAATGAGCGCTCGCTCAAATTCCACGGGACGGAGAAAAAGAACGAGGGAAGCATCATTAGTTCCCCATTTGTAGAGGAGTTTCTCTTAATCTCTCCATCTTTCACCTCTCCTACTGGCCTCTTTACCTACCTAACAATGTTTCTCTGCCTCTCTCTCCTCTCTCTACCTCTCTTGCTCCTCTCTGTCTCTCCCCCTGATTGGGCTGGGTTTTCTCCTGAGGGACAGGTGGCGATCCTGGTGTAAGCCTGCTGTGGAGAAGCGTACAGCTGATCCTACAGTGGAGGATTATTCATGGGGCTTTAGCTACAGACAGACATGTGGCACACCTGGATGGGGGAGGAGGTTTTGTGGCCAACCTGAATCTGTGGAGTTTCTGCCACTGTGCTGTGTTAGGCTGGGTCATATTTCAGTGAGGAGTTTTCTGAGATTTTTATCGCAGGTGTGAAGGAAAAAGGCTGCTTTATAAAACTATCTCGTTAGGTGCAGCAAAAACAGCATTTAGAAGCTTAGAAAGAGGAAAGCTGCTGGGGCTGGCTGTGTGGATTCTGAGAGGATGCTGAGGGGGTCCTGAACATTGCAGGCTGCTGGACAACGTAAAAGGTTTTACTGATGTGTGGGAATGGAAAGCATTCTCTGTAATGCTGATGAAGACGCCCAGTTGGTTTTTCATTTTTAACCCTGTTTATTATAATGCATGCAAACTTTCTTTTCTTGTCTGTTAAATGGGGTCAGTGCTGTAGTAGTGAGACAACATTGCCACAAGAAAGATATGTTAAGTCTCTCTTTCTCTGTCTCTCTCATTTGCTCCTCTCTCTCCCTCCCTCTCACTGTCTTTCAAAGGTAAGAGACATTATTGGGCACATGAGCCTCTTGCTTTCTCTGTTCTCTCTCTCTCCCATGTTTATCTCACTCTCACCCCTCTCTTTTTCTCGCTCTCTCACATCTCTTGCTTTTTCCCTCTTTTTCCTTTGTCTTGCTTCCTTGTTTCTCTTTCACCGCTTGCTCTCCCCCCCCCCTCGTGTGTGCCTTACTTGCTCTCTTTCTCTCACTTCTTTTGCTTTTTCACTCTCCCCCTCACATCTCTTGCTTTTTCTTCTCTATCTTTATCCCTCTTGCCTCTCTTGCTTTGTCTCTCCCTCTCTCTATCTTTCAATTGCCTCTCTTGCTCTCTCCTTCTCTCGTCTCTGTATCACCTCTCGCTCTGTTCCTCTCTCTCACCTCTCTTGCTCTTTTCCCCCCATCTCAGTTACTTTCTCTCTCTCTCAAGTCTCTTGCTTTGTTGTTCTATCTCTTGCCTCTCTTGCTCTTTCTGTCCCTCTCTTTCACCTCTTGCTCTCTTTCTCTCTCTCTTGCTCTCTTCTTTCTCTTTCTTTCTTGCTCTTTTTCTCTCTCACCTCATCTACCTCCCCCTTTCCTCTTACTTTTTCTCTCTATCTTTCTCTCTCTTGCTCTCTTTCTCTCTCCCCTCTCTTGCACTCTTTCTCTCTCTCACTCTCTTGCTCTCTCACCTCTCTCTCTCATCTTTCTTGCTCTCTTTCTCTCTCTCTCTCGCTTTTTCTCTCCTCTCTCTTTATTCTCTCGCCTCTCTCTCTCTCCCGCACACACACTCTCTCTCTCTGTTTCTCTCTAAGGTAAAGGACATATTGGACACATAAGCCTTTGTTAATGAAGTCATCTTGAATGGTGAAAAAATGGCTGGAATTCATTTCTAGTGGCTTAAATGAGCACTCCCTCATCAAAATTACACGCATGCTTTAAAATCCTTCACCTATAGATGTGAGTGTCTATGTACAGCGCAAAGCACTTCTTTAATGAGGTTGTGTCACATGTCATGTTGATCATGTCAGCAAGTACATGTTCTTCAGAAATGAAAGTCCTCTATAGGAAGCCATTAAAAAGTAATAAGTCCACAGACACAAAAGGGGTTGAGAGCAATAGAACATGGTTGGCTAACACTGAGGAGCAAGGGGGAGACTCAGCTGAGAATGCAAATGTCATAAACAATTGCTGAAGGTATCTGAGCCGCCATTATCTCGTTATGTCAGCCCTATCAGCCTTATCTGTGCTGTTTCATCTGCGATAAAGAAACCCAATCTCACTCTGGTAGTACATCACGCCTCGGTGATTTCCATTTGAACCCACGCGGCTATTTTCACACCTTCTGCAGATAATTCAGAGATTTGGCAAAGGCAAAGTGAGGTGGAAAAAGGCTTTCTGACCGATTTCAAAACACAGCACCGGAGACAGAGCAAGCCATATGCATATTCTGGCACTGTAGCCAATGTAGTAACTGGCTGATTTTCAGCAACTTCAATAGTAATGCTATTGTGCATCAAAGACAAAGGATACTTTCATCAAGGACAAAAAGCTACTTATACTAGCCTTTTTTAAAGGCGGACGAGTGCAATAGCCTACACGGAGAGAGAGAGAAAAGAGAAGAGGAAAAGAGGAGCGTACATATTCTTGTGTGGAGCTGCGAAGATGTGGCCCTGCAATTCAATATTTATCAGAACACCTGTGAGTGAAGACGGCCTCAACAAAGCGCTGAGTAATGGCAACAAGCCTTAATTAGCCATTCATTAGACGAAGGTGTAAAACTTGCGCTTTCATACCCTGCTCGCTTACCAGCCTATTTAATTGCAGCTTCACAAGCCGCCTTAAATTTCCTAAACGAAAACAACCTTGGAAGAGGAGCGGAAGGGAAAAAAAAGCTTTTTCGGGTTAACAAATAAAGCATTAACCTGCAACGTAATGGCATGTAATTAGCGAGGGAATGTTTGGAGTGAAATCACTCATACCTTACAAGCATCATTAAGCCACATTAGCTCATTTTCCCTTTTGATAACTTCATTCAGAAAACATCAAGGCTTCCTTCAAAGGCATCAGTAATGCACAGGACACACTAACGCTATTGTTCAAAAGTTTGGAACCATTAGTCATACTAATAATTATTTTATTCAATAAAATAACAGAAGACTGAAATATTATATATTAAAATGGGTTCTGAGAGTTCTTTGGGAACAACAACAAGTTATTCAACAATAAATAATATGCTACAATTATGTATTCATAGTCATTTCTTGTGAATTTATCTGCCTTGAGACGCGGTCATCACTTCTGAAATACAAGGCATTCTGGAAATTAATTTTATAATCACATTCTTAATGTTATACAGCTTTATCAGTCATGATAGAATCATCTACAGCTCTGTTCATTGTTCTCGACACATCTAACACCAAATTCAGACTATGTCATGGAAGCCCAACATATGTGAAGTGCAGGCGACTATGCGCCTTTGACTCTGTCACATAAACACTTCAGACAGGAATATCAGCTCTTTTTCCTCCTTTTCTCATTCTAATTAAAACAGTTTTATAGCATTTTAAATCTTGACAGCACAAACAGCAGACCTCATTTTTAGCATTTTTTTCTTGAGACGGATGTATGATATTTTTTTCACCTTATCATAACAGTTCCCTCAACACAACGTTAGTACAGCGCAGAAGCTGCTCGGCGACTACTGAGCCAACAATATCACATTTTAGTGAATTACATTTACAACAATAACATGCAACACATATAAAAAAAAATAAATAAATAAAAAACACAATAAAAGAGCAATACTAAAAATAAGTCAAAAATAACGTAAAAGTAACGTTCCGGTAAGGAAAATAATAAAAGCTAGTAAAATAAGTGAAAAAATAAGATTTTTGTTTTGAGTCAGTGAATTTTTAATGGTATTGTGTTCCTGATCTTTGGTGCATAAAAACAAAAGGCCGCTTCACCACCTTATCATTTTAAATCATTACTTTAAAGTTTCATTCATGGAAAAGGCCAGCACTGGATGAGCGCAGGGCATGATTTAGAACAGTTAATCAGGCATTCATTCAGTATGAAGGTACAATATCATTAACAGATTTAAAAACTGCCTGTTAGTATCAGATCGGAATCGTTTTATAGTCATATAATGGGGTCCAAAAGTCTGAGAACACTAGTCAAAACGCTTCTTTTTTTGCATCCCTTTTAATTTTAATAGGAAGATTTTCATTACAAATCATAGTATCAGCATAACAATCTGAGCAAAAAGTGGAATCTTTGAAATTGTAACATACATTTTAGATTTTCTTGCTATTTGGTATGTCCCCCTTTTGCTTTAATGACAGCATGCACTCGAACTGGCATGGACTCCACAAGTTTGTGCAAAAGCCTCTGATTAGTAGACTAAATCCTCCTGAGAGACATCTCAAGATGAGCTTCACTGTAAGAGATAAGACTAAAAAATCTGACCTTTTTGTACAAAGGCCTCAACACAAATTTGGCCGATTTCACAAATTTGCTTAAATTTCAACAATGACCTAGAAATAGTACAGAATCTAGAATGTTTCTTCTTCATTTCACTTGCCATAACTTTTCTTTGGTTTTAAATTTCCAAGTTGAAATGAAAAACATTCCAAGTGTTTTTAGACTTTGGACCCCACTGTATCTGCACCAAATGTGGTTTTATATTGTAGACAAGACTGACTGCAAAACATTTCAATGGTAGAGTAAGTATAATAACTGGATAAACTCTCTTCAATAACACTTAGTGGAGCGTAGGGACACTTTGCCGTAC